CATAAGTTTTTCTTCTTTCTGTCCCCTTTTTCATTTTGGCTTGCAGCAATTTAGTTCTGACTGTATTTTTATTTTAATGTCAATAAATGAAAATAAAAGATTAAAAAAAAAAAGAAGAAGAAGGGGGCATTCCCGTATACAAATCAAAACGCCCCTTTTAGCGGCTGGCTGGATGATATTGAATCTACGAGGCCAGGCTGGGGCCCACTGGGGCCATCCGGGCGGTGTGGAGCCGATGGTATTATTGTCATGTTCCTGTTCCTGCCATGCCCCGTTGCCACAGCAACCCCAGCCTGCACCTCATCACTTCATTCATCACACCTGTTCCTGTCATCAGCTCATCACACACACCTGCTCCCTCTGCTATATATTCACCAGCCAGCCACCAGTTCCCTGCCAGATAATTGAACGCTCCTGCAAGTAAATACTCCAGCCTCGTTACCCACCTTGTCGTCACGGATCCCGAACCCTGCCTTGTCTCCTGACCTTCCTCCTCGCCGTGCCCTCCTGGTTATATTCTGTTTTGTTCCCGACCTCGTCCTTGGATCCTCCTGATTGGCATTCTGCATCTCTGCTCCTCTGGTAACGATACTGCTCCACTCGACCTTTTTGGATTTCCCTGTCTGCACCTCTGCCCCTCTGATCCTCTGGCTCCGACCCTGTTCCGTCCCCGACCTTGTTATTGGATCTTCCCTATCGGACATTCCTCGCCTCGGATCTCCTGGTCACGACCCCCTGTCTCCTGACCTAGTCTCTGCCTCCTCCCATCATCACCTTTTCTCCTTTTTAATACAACTCTTTAAACGTGTCATTCTGTGTTTGGTGTTTCTTACGGGTCCGCCAGTTAAGCATGTGACAATTACCTGCCGTTTCTTCTTAAGCATATGGGTCAGATTGTAGTGTGTTTTATTCTTTTTTTAAATCCTTTGTAGCTTAATCTTTATCTTTGTATGGTGCTCTATGTATTCTGCCCATTTTATATTTTTATAGAAATGGAATCAGGATGTCACCCAAAGGCAGAATGAACACCAAGAAAAATACAGGCCCCAGTATGCACTTGTACATTCTTTCAGAACGACTCTTCACAGCAAAGGCTTCCTTTGAACGGCTTCATCCTGATGAGGACTTGAGTCTGATCTATTTAAAGGGTTTTTTAAATCAGTACTGTCAATTTGCTGCAATGCTGTGGCGGCATCAGGGAGCCTTAGGTTGATTATAAATGGTCAGACTGTGGCGGTAATGTGGCGCAGTCATGTCCTTTTAATTACAGATTAGGCGATGGCGGCATAAAGAAGGTATGGGGGCGGTCTCTGTGCTGCAGCAGACTTCCGTTTATCTTGGACATAACTTGCTTTTTATTGCGATTGAGCAACAATCATTACCTTTTTCTCAAGCCACTCCTAACGGTGTCTGTCCGCCACAGTCCCCGGTGATCTGAGCTCCAGCTCTAATGCAGAGAAGCTCATGGACAGCTGCAGCGCTCCAGTTTGCTTTTTGTAGCATCCAGAAAGGGTCAATTTTGACCTACATAGTGACTGGTCATCTACAGAAATAATTCCACTGTCTAGAAGGATTTTCTATTCTATCTTCTAACACCCAGAAGATTCTGCAGTGCTTGCTGACATTCCATGAAGACAAGATTGTCAAACTAGGTCTCCAAACAAAGGCGGTCCTCTTATCTCAGACTGCTGGATTCCACACGCTGATTGAAAAGTGAACTTCTACAACTCATAAGTTAAATAATCATATGGGTGAATGAACCAGATGTTATATGAAATGTTTGAATAGTTTGTGCCTAATTCAGTGAAGCTGAAATGAATATTGTTCTTACAATGATCCATTTAAATCTTATGATCAGTACTGTTTGATTTAACAAGTTAATCATTATCTACACTCATACACAAAGTTCATTAGATGCAAATTCAGGTTAAGGTCATCGCACATGTTTAAAGATTCTTTATCCACAGAATTAGAACAGCTTGTATCTGGAAGGTGTGGTTTTCTGAGGGATGTTTGGTAAAGCCTACAAACATGTCAAATTCTGATTCGCAGTAATCATAAACTCTAGATTATTAAAACTAGAATGACTTCCCGATTAACTCAGTTTCCAGCTGACACCTCGATTCGGCGAAATCGGGAATGAAGCCTTTTTGAAACAACTTCCATTGACCTTAAGTCAAAACCTTGCCACGACGCTGCAAGTGATTACAGACACAACAGCTCGTTCCAGAACTACTGCAACTCTCAGACATCCATCTTGGACATCTAACCTGCAGACCCCGGGTTGCATCTCATGGCCGGTGAAACTGAACTCAGAGGAAGCTACTAATCTCTGACTATTGTGGTTTCGACGTCTGGTGACCTCACCACTCTGACCGCAAACCTCCGGACTGCCAAGAGCAACTCATACAAGGGTATGGTAGACCTGCATACTGGTGTCTGATCAATAAACAATTCCCTAGTTTATCAATAAACAACTCTCTAGTTTATAGCAGAACAAAATTATTTTACACCCAGAACTCACATTTCTTCCAGATACAAAGGTTCTGATAAACATCTACTTCACATTCCATCACACATCATTATTCATAGCTTGTCAAGTATTATAATTAGTCTAGAAAAAGTTTATTTTAATTATATGCTTGACTCTGTCTGAATTAATACAAAGTGTGTTTATGGTCCCTGAATAAGCAAAGATTCCAAAATTCTTCTGGTTAAACATTCAAAGATCAACCAGGTTGATATTCTATATTTATATAGAATCATCACATCTTATTGGTCATAATTTAACCCCAAATTCACAACACTTTTCAGCTGATTTGCTTCAAAAAGCAAAACTTACGGCCCGTCTTTTCTTTCATTTTCAATATAGTTGCTGGCCAGAGCTCAGCATTAACTCCCTACATCATCGTGACACGCCCTTCTGTTGTGCCAAGGCACAATCGCTGTTTATAAGACACACTTACCGCAATATTTCTACCAAGCAATGCGGAATGAATTGCCAGCATGGCGCGTTTATAAGACACACAGTGCCGATTTGCCAGCACTGTGTGTCTTATAAAAAAGGGCTCAGCTCGTTAGAGTTGTGCCGTTTTGATTTAGCTTCATCATAAGACATTTTAAGGGTGCTGATCTTAAATCAGTTTGCAGCTCTGAGAAGGTAGGTGGTTTAAGCATTATACCAGGTTTATTCACATTTAGGTATAATAATGTATAAAATACTACCCACCCTTTTTGGAGGGGATGCTGGAGATCACTCTTACCTGTGACTCCCTCGTTCTACTGGGGGACTTAAACACTCACGTGGGCAACGGCAGTGAGACCTGGAGAGGTGTGGTGGGGCGGAACGGCCCTCCTAATCTGAATCTGAGCAGGATTTGGTTAATGGACTAATATGATTGTCATGGATTGTCCATAATGAACACCATGTTCAGACATTAAGGTGTCTATATGTGCTCTTGGCACCAGGATACATTAAGCCGCAGCTCAATGATCAACTTTGTCGTCATCTCACCTGTCGTCTCATGGGAGGTCGTCAGTGGGACCATGAAGCGAGACTTCTGTATGGCTTCAAGGAGATTCTGGTCCACCATCCAGTGCATCAGGAGGGTAAATCAGCGTGCTACCAGCACTTTTTAGAGTGGGGACGGTGTGCTGCTGACCTCTATTCAGAACGTTGTGGATCGGTGGGCAGAATACTTCGAAGACCTCCTCAATCCCACCGACACATTTTCCAGTGAGGAAGCAGAGTCTGGGGACTTTGGGTTGGGCTCTCAAATCTCTGGTGCACAGGTCACTGAGGTGGTTAAAAAGCTCCTCTGTGACAAGGCTCCAGGGGTGGATGAGATCCGCCCGGAGTTCCTTAAGGCTCTGGAAGTTGTGGGGCTGTGTTGGCTGACACGGCTCTGCAATATCGCGTGGACATCGGGGGCAGTCCCACTAGACTGGCAGACTGGGGTGGTGGTCCCCTTATTTAAAGGGTGTGTTCCAACTACAGGGGGATCACACTCCTGAGCCTTCCTGGTAAGGTCTATTCAGGGGTTCTGGAGAGGAGGGTCCGTCTGATTGTTGAACCTCAGATTCAGGAGGAGCAATGTGGTTTTCGTCCTGGCCGTGGAACACTGGACCAGCTCTATACCCTTAGGGGGATCCTGGAGGGTGCGTGAGAATTTGCCCAACCAGTCTACATGTGTTTTGTGGATTTGGTGAAGGCGTTGGACTGCGTCCCTCAGGAGGCTCTTTGGCAGCTACTTCTGAAGTATGAGGTACCAGTTCATCTGATACGGGCTGTTAGATTCCTATGACCAGTGTCAGAGCTTAGTCCGCATTGCCAAGCCCAGGTGGCTGAGGAGAGGGAAGTCTGGGCCTTCCTGTTTAGGCTACTTCCCCTGCAACACAACCCCGAATTGGCAGTCAAAAAGGTTTGGATGGACGCATAAAACAGACATAATCAAGAGTGAATAAAATCTGATTCAATTAAAACTTAACTCACAGGATTACCATCAGAAATATGAATGCTTGGAGACTAGAACCTACTTAACTCACAGGATTACCATCAGAAATATGAATGCTTGGAGACTAGAACCTACTTCCAATGCCCGGATTACAAAAAGAACAAAAACCAGCTACAAACGCAGATCGTTAGAACAGAACTCCGTATGAAACTGGAATCCTGATTTCCTAATTCCTCCGTTATTGTTAAATCAGATTTAATTCATTGAGCCTCTGAACACCATAAAATATTATTTCATGTAACAGAATCAGGCTCAGGTGGTTCTGACCCAACCCAAACAAAAGCAGCAGACTTCGTAAAACCCTGGGTGTGGAAAACCCTCTAACCTTTAGGATGCTGCTGATTTAAAACTTTGTAGAGTTCAGGGTTTAAAGCCATGAAGGGGCCGTTACCATTGACCTCGAGTGTTTTTGTTCACTCATAAAAGTTCAGACACACGCCTTGCTTATAGCTTCATGGCACCTTCTCCAACATAAGACACAAGAGATTTAAGTAGCTTTAGTTTTATTTATGCAAGTGACATTAGTTTTAATCAAATCTTCCTTTGAATTAGGGCTTTTAAACATTTAAATGTGAGTGTCATTACACCTTTTTGATAAACAATCACTGAGGGAATGGAACGTTCCACATGAATACAATAAGCTTTATCGATTAACAAAAATAAAACGGCGTGCTGTGTTTGGCGACAGAGCAGATGGACTTGTGGGGCTTCAGTTTCCAACACGGCACAAACAGTTAAGTACATTTCTCCAATTAAGAATTCAAAGTAAGAAAACCAAAAGTGTGTGGTAAAAAGAGCATTACCGATGTAAAAGACAAGAGGACAACAGAAAACAACTCATCCCCCATCATACCAACAACAGGATACAGGAGTATTTTTTCATTTCTCAGCAGCCTTTCAGGCTGACAGCCTTCAAATGCTGCTCCAAAACTGGAGTTTATTTCTGAAAACGGTCTGAATTTTCATCTGCTCTTCAGTGTAGTTTGCTGCTTTTTTAATTAGCCATAAACTCATTAAGAAACTCAAACTATTCTGTAGCACATGCCCAGTAAACTAAACAGAGGCAGATAATAGAACGTAAAGGTTGGTAGCATAACGAGTCCTCTAGTCACAACCGAACGATGCAGGTTATAAAGAGTTAAGTGTGAGGTCATAAGGAATTGTTGTCAAGGCATGGGGGCACATGAAGGTTAGCTATAGCATGCTCTTGGTTTGTGTCCAGCCCGTTACACAAACAACACTAATGATCAAAAACCGCTCAACTCAAATAAACAGCTTGGCTATCTTAGTTTCTCTCAACATCTATGTTAATTGTGGTCGACATGACGATAGACTAAAACACTTAGAGAAGCAGCAGCATCCTGTTTGCGTTTAAAGGACCAGACCCTCGTACGCAGGACCTTCAGACTCGGGAGATTCTCTCTGCAGACGAAGGTGCTCCAGTGTGTTGTGGAAGTGTTTGTTGATCTGCTCAGTTTCTTCACTTGCTTCCAGATTAGGAAGATCATCTCTGACCTTTTGAATCAGTTGGTTCAGCACTTGGACCGTCACCTGAACGGGAGAAATATGAGTCATTATTCATAGAGACAGCTGTTCACTACAGCACTGTGGCACACCGGCCCTGTGAGTGTGGTCCGATCCCAGCTAATGCTACAGCAGATCATGTGCGTTTCACTGAAGATTACAAAATGGTGGTGTGAAGGGTGTGTGTGTGGGCAGTCTCTTTGCTTTTAAGGACTTTAGCTTGAACGTAACGTGCTTTTTTATAGTATAAGTTGGCTGTCAATAAGTGTGTGCAGGATTCTAAAATTTTTATTTGTATATTTGTTTTCCAAATAAGAGTAAAACATAACATTCTGCTATCATATTTGTGAGTCTGACAAAATGGGATGGTTAGGATTTTTTTAACGATAAAAATTAGTGAAAATAAAATTTCTGACACTGAAGATTTTCTGTCTGTGGACACAAAATCAGTTTGTGTGCACCAGAAAAAACACACTGGAGACATCACAAGGATAAGTAATCAAACTCCGTTCTCACCAAACATCACACTCCATCATTAATATTGCTGGACCTTTAATATCTGGAAATATCTACTTTGGGTAGCCAGGGAACAACACTTGCCAATAATTTATCACCAGAAGAAAAAATAGCTTATAAAAAATAATTTATTACTATATTTCTACAACTAATGATCATACAGAATAACTGGAGGTAAATGATTATTCAAGATAAGATCAACTGGGACAATAAGCAAACTCTAATGAAATATGACCTTAAATGTCTTAGGAAAGATGTGAAGTCTGGGATTACAACAACAATCTGGCTGTTTTAGTGATGTTTAATTAGTTATAGGGCTACATGATATTAGAAAAACCTGCGATTTGCGAAAACGGTGATTAATATTGCAATGATGATATTACTTGCAACTTAACTTAGGAACAAAAATAATCAAAAATAAAGAAAAAAAAATAAAACAATCATTAAAATGAGAAAAGCTATAGATATGAGGAAAGGGAGAAAGAAAATGAACAAGAAAAGGGAATCAGTGGAAAAGCAGAATCAGCAGAAAGAGCAGAACAAAGCTAACTCAGGTGTTTGCTAACCATCAACATTAAGTGTCGGGGACAGGCATCTAATCTATGAGAACCCACCCGATTGGCCAAATGGGGGAAGAGCTCTGATTAGTTATAAAAACATCATGCTTCCGTTTGACAGAATGCATCATGTGTAGCAAACATTTGAGCTGACCATTCATTGCGATATGCATATTGCGCATGCTGAGACCATAATAACGATTTATTTGCGATATGTTATCAATAAATCATAACTGACACCAGTGAGCAGCTGGACCAGCACACCAGAGACACATGACACGAGATATAGCTCATGTCCCTCTAACTAGAGAATAGTTAGCCAACAAGCTGCCATGCTAACATGCTGAAAAGGATTGCTATGAGAAACTTTTTCTTCTGATTCTATCCTTTGAGGCGTTTTGGTTCATTTTCAGTAGAAATGCAATTTTTAGACTAAAGAAATGTTTTAGGAAATCTTAAACAAGACATAAACAGAAGAGTAGGAATAAAGAAAATAGCATTGACCTTCTTTGTACAATGTTCTGTAAATCCTCATCTGCAAATCTCATGCTTTTAAGGTGTTTCACTAAAGATGTGAGGAAGAAGTGTGAGGCTTCCTGTAGCTGATTTGTTACGATTAGAACTGGGCTGTCTCAGACTGAGTCTCAGAGATGAGCCAGCTTCCTGGTTCTCCTTCAAAGAGCAACTGTGTCATAGAGCCATCAACATTCATACATGTACATACCCTTTAATCAATCACAGGGCAGAGTGCAATACTTATCCCCACATACTTTGTCTTGATATAATTTCTCAAAAATCAACAAAGATCAGCAAACATGCAGTTTATGCACATGCATGTACATGCACATTCTTTAAACCTCCACTATGGCGAGCCTAGGTCACCAGACCATGGGTCCCCAGAAGAAAGAAAAATGAATGCAAGTCAACGGGGCTAAAAACGCTATTTTCTAACTCTGCTTGTTTAGTGCCGTGGATTTCACACATGATATCCGTGAATTTTAAAGACACATGTTGATACCAAGAACACGCTTATTTTCGAACGGGGGGAACAATATTTTAGGTTTTGTGTGAAAATAATCCAGGCAGTGGCGGCTGGCCAGTAGAGGGCGATAGGGCACCGCCCTCCCAGTTTCCCCTGTGTTTTTAATTTTTATTTAAAAAAAATAAATAAATAAAATTAGCAATAATCACATATTCTAAGTTAATTGTGTTTTGTAACAAAAATAAATCATATATATATATATATATATATATATATATATATATTGGTCTCTGCCGGTCTCTGCCGGTCTCTGCCGAGCGGTGGAGGCTGTGTGCTGTTTTTCAATCGCCCAAACAAGACGGGACCAGTTGTCCAATTGCTGACAAGAAAATCAAAGGGTAGGAATGGGAATGTATCCAATCAGCGTCGACGTTATTTCAGAACGTTTCAGAAGCATGATGGGCGATAGATCAACCGCCAAGGCTTTCGTTGGTGTTCGGTAGAACTCAGAGAGTCTCGACTCCAGCACGTTTTTGGTCGTGAATCGTGACGGTCATGACGCAGACGTAGACATGGGCGCCAGTGCGCCTACAACATGGATACCGGATCTCAGCAGCCACTGAATTCAGTTCGGTCTCTTCTCCAGTATCCGTTCGAGAGGAGAACTATGGTAGAAAAACTTAATGTCAAAGAGCTTGGACCAGATCAGCCCGACGTAAAGAGAAGCCAGCAGGACAAGGAGAAGGGTAAACTGTACACACGACGCTTCTCCCAAAATTGGTACACCAGGAAGCAGTGGCTAGCTGGATGCAATCACGCTAATGCGTTATTTTGCTTTCTGTGTTTGTTATTCAAAACGGCTGGGATCCACAGAAGGTGGATGTGGAACTTGTGTCTCATTGGGGACTCCATTCATTCTCTGACTGAGGAATGCAGCGCATCAGTGCAGCAGCCAACAAAGAAACGGAGGACGTTTGGCCAGGGAGAACAGCAGCTGGGTGCAGAGGTAAGTTGTACATTACATTTCTGTAAACAAGACAATCAGAATCAGAAATCCTTGGTTGTCCCACAAACCGGGACATTTGTTTAATAACATGTACATTGTTTAATGTGCAATAACTGTAAAAACTAATTTCAACACACATACCTATTATACATATTTAATCATGTAAATGTGTATTTCAAGTAAATTTGTACATACATCAATCTGATTCCATTTTACTTGTTACACTTCTGCTGCAGCAAACAAATTTCCCAGCTTTTGGGACAATAAAATATTTCTGATTCTCAATGAGATGTTTTTACATTTGAAGAAAAACATCTCATTGAGAACCAGAAATGTTTTATTGTCCCAAAAAGTGGGAAATATGACATTTGTAAGAGAATACTGATGACATTATTTCCTATGAAAGTGTTTCCACTTTCCATAAGTCCCAACAGTGTAAATTTCTGGCATTTTGTCTAAGTGGTGTTTACTACCATTACAGTAACAGTGACCTGCTCATAATTTTTCGTGTTCACTCAAATGTTGAAATTAAACAAAATGTTTTTGTTACTTGCCTCTTGCATTGCCTATTTACCATTTATGGTCATGTTATTTTATGTGCAATTTAATGCAGTATTTTTCAACCTTGGTCCGCAAGGCAGCGTGCCAATAGTCAGACACACCTGGATTAATCAGTTTGTCCAATGAAATAAAATAGCTGTGCTTAATTCAGGAAATAGTGAAGTTGTGCACAAAGCTCAGAAAGCACAAGTTTGTTTAAAAAAAATAGCACAGCCCCACCAAAAATATTTTTCATCAGCCGCCACTGAATCCAGGACTACAACATCATCGAACCAGACACGAAGAAAACAGGGAAAATGGCTGTAAGTTCAGCAAACCTCAAGTCATTCCTCCAGGAGGAAAGAACCACCAAAAATCTGGACATTTGGAAAGTAGCAGCTACGTTAGAGAAGATTCTGTGGTGACTGTCACATATGCCGATGTCTGATTTCTAGTCATGCTAACGGCAAACTTTTACAAGCTGATAAATCTCAAAGTACGTGACTGGCGTGGTCGAAACACCCATCATTAGTTTACATTTAAATATAAACATAATGGCGAGCCATTTTGCCAGATATTTGTACATTTTTAAACAGTTTAACACTCAAATTTATAAAACTTGATGTTTCTGGTTGAAAACGGGACAATCTTGTAATCCACCACTAGAGTGCAGCATCTCCATTTAAAGTCAAAAGGAGGAGTGACACTGGTCACCTCCGACAGGAGGCGCTGATCATCTCAAATCATTGGGGGCTGACGTGTAAGTTCTCAGCCCTTTTGGTTTCATAGACAGAGCTATCTGAAAGGATTTTTCCTGCTTCTTTAAGGTAAATACTGTACTTTTATGTCTTTTCTGTGTACTATTCTTGTGTAACGGAGGTAAAAGAATTTCTCCACTGGAAGCTCGCTTTCCGCGATTGCCGTCTGATCCCCGGTAAATCAACCCGTTAAGCTTGACTAACATCAATTGCTAACAGTCTAAAATAAGCTTTTCAAACGGTAGAGCGTCGCTGCAGCACAAACTCATACGGTACTTGTCCGAAATATTAACACGAACGCCTCCCGAACGTCGGTTACTCAGACTGGTCAATTCTAAGAGAATTAGACTGCAAAACAGCCTGTTTAGCTACCAGTTCACTAGCTTAGCACAGCCAACTGCTAACTAGTAAACTCGGTTTAGACAGTCGGTACGCGCGATTCCGACAACCTGTCAGCCGTCTGACGCAGTGTTCCTGTGTCTTTAAATCCCCTATTCCCTAAAGCTGGGCGGACACTGTGCGACTTTTTCACTCGTAACTCTCAGCTTCAGCTCAAACTGTACGACTTCCTCGCAGGGCAGATCTCACGAGTCATGTGCTCACACTGTACGACCCAGTTCTCGGATGCGACCTGACTGCTCACACTGTACGTCTGGTAGCAACACGTC